CTGCTGATAATTGATTTTTGAAAAATGTATTGCTGGTAATAATTTTTTGTCTCAAAAATGTATTGCTGGTAATATTTTTACAAAAATTATAGTGTCGGTATTAAAATCTATTTTGATATTTTTATGTTTTTTTTTTTTTTTAAACCCCAGTTTGGCGGGTCAGTGTGGAACTGGAAACATCAGCAAAACCTGATCAGAAGCCTTGCTGTTGGATGAAGTTTATCGTCATACACGGGACGGGAATATGTGGGAACGCTGACATTTTTTTTAAGCATTACGCCCCGAGCAAGGCGTGAAGCCACTAGGATGCAGGGGGTTGCAGAAGATTTGGAGCAAGATAGGAGTGATAGAAGAAAGGATGAGGAGAAGGATAGTGCGTAGATCAAGTTAACTGGAGGTGTCGATTGACATTACATTTGAATAGTTGGAGATTATAGCTCTCAGGGAAACAGTAATAGGGAAGGATGTTCCACAGGCGAGAGGTGCGAGGTATGAAGCTATTGGAGTAGAAGAGACGGATACATTTAAAAGTTTCTACAGTGTAAGGGTGGAGCGGGATGCCAGCCTTGTAGGGCGCTTGAATTCATGGAGTCTGGGAACCAGTGAAAGCAGCTCATCGGAGCAATTACCATGAAAGTATTTGTAGAAAAGACAGACATTTTAAACTTTTAAATGTATTTATTTTTCAAAATAATTTTAAAAAATACATATAGTTCCACTATTTATATTATTCGGACTATTGTCCTCATCTTATCACAGCGTTTCGGTCGTTGTACGCTCCGGCCTTCTTCAGGTGGTTGGAATGTCGACCTGAACCCTTTATTCCGCTCACTGGGGTAGACTGTTCTAGTTCCACGTGACATGTCTAATGGATGTCAGTTATCGGTTATCTCCTGTTAATTCCTTTATCCAAGTTCTCCACTGCCTCAACCAGGTATTGAACTCACAACTCTTTGGGTCTTGTCACTGGATCTAACCAAATATTCCTATATATTTACGATCAAAGATGATATTCTGTTGTGTTGACATGGAAGATTGATAACGGTCGCGGGAAAGCAGACGCAGTTCGAGAGGCCGAAATATTAACAACGTGAATGATCTGTTGCCCCAATACACTAAACACACGCGCACACACACACACACACACACACACACACACACATATATATATATATATATATATGTATGTATTTTAAGACATTTATACATTCTTTTTATAGATACAAATATTTAAGTAAATGCTCTGTTTATAATAAACAGTATTTATCAACATTTACCGACCTGAAAATTTCTCGGACATTCAGGCCGGTAAATGTTGTTTAATACTGTTTATTATAAACAGAGCATTTACTTAAATATTTGTATCTATAAAAAGAATGTATAAGCATAAAAATGTCTTAGAATAATTGTCTGACTTTGTCCATTTCAATATATATATATATATATATATGTGTGTGTGTGTGTGTGTGTGTGTGTGTGTGTGTGTGTGTTAAAATTTATAGTTGTTCCAACGAGAGCAAAATGTATTCAGTATTGCCAACACTTCAGAATGGATTTCAAGCTCACTAACAAATACAGAAAATGAACAATGGGACATTAAAAGAACATAAGGGAATTGTATTTCTTATATTTGCCTGAAGATGGTCACGGACGGAAACACGTGTAGCAGAAATATAATAAAATATAATAAAATATAATATATATACTAAAATAAATCCGCATTATAACCAAAACATTTGCGGTTTCTATCGTTATATATATATATATATATATATATATATATATATATATATATATATATATGTGTGTATTTATTTAAAAAATTATAACATAAATGTGTTATAAAATCACTACAAAAATAGCTATTTGTTTCAACACCTCCGGTGTCTTATCAAGGATGATGCTGAATGTAAAATAAATGGTTTTAAAAGTTTCAAATTTTCATGAGGGGAAAACGTTGTTACAAAAAACTAGATGGACCAATCAAAATACAAGTATAGGAAAATTCAAAAAGCTTGACAACGAAGTCATGTTATAACAGCTATTCAGATCTTTAAAATACGGGGTAATATTAAAAAGAATTTATTCTAATTTGTATATATATATATATATATATATATATATATATATATATATATATATATATATGTACACACACATCTATCTATCTATATACGTTTGTGTGCGTGTGTGTCTTTCTATTTAACCCAGATGTTATACCGATATACCGATATATACTAAGCGTATAATCCATATATATAGATGTCCTATTATTTAACCCATATCAGTGGAATAAAAGATTATTTTATATTATCCAAAGAGTATTTCCGTTTATTTGAATGCAAGAAAATCATCTGGAATTTGAACTCTGTCTTCCCGTTTCTTTTCCCGACAATTAAACCCCTCACACATGCATGGAGTAAGACAATAAATCTGGAGTTGGGGTTGCTTTTATGTGGGAGATCATTTCAAATATATATATATATATGTGTCTCTCTGTGTGTGTGTGTGTGTGTGTGTGTGTGTGTGTGTGTGTGTGTGTGTGTGTGATTTCGTGGAGCATTTTTCAATAAAACTTAAATGCGTAGAATGTCAGCAAGATCAATAACCCATACTTCCTTGAGATTCCAGAGTCATCAGTATTGATTTAATTGAATTTCTTATCCGTTTATCTAAGGTCCCGTTTGCCATCCTGCCCTTGCCCCTGAGGTCTCGCGTCGCTTTGCTTGAAAATTGGATTTTGATATGCCGAAAATAGCCAATCAGGGTAAAGAGCCAAGTGATGACGTCATTGCAAGAAAGAGATAAATTTTAATTAGAAAATCTTGGCGATAAAATCTCATTCTCCTCCTCTTTATTTCTTCTGCCTCCCAGCAGTAATTTTTTTTTTTTTTTAGGCAGCGGCAGACAACTCTTGACGACCAATTTTACACACTATTACACTTCACATTACTGAGAGTTCTTTTACTTTCTTTATGACCGATTCAGAATGCCAATTGCTATAAGCTTGGGTGTGCGGGTGGTGTAAAAGTTAATGGCACGGAATTGTTAAATCGAGAGCAATATTTTTTTTTTGTAACAATACAAAAATATGGCACAATACCAAAAAGGGATGTCTTTGTCTTACAATATTTACATTATTCAGACTATTGTCCTCATATTTGTCGACATATTTATTACAACGTTTCGGCTGTTTTACGCTCCGGCCTTCTTCAGGTGGCTGGAATGTCGAACAGAAACCTTTATTTCGCTCACTTGGGATAGTCTGTTCTAATTTCACATGCCATGTTTAATGGATTAAGTTATTCAGTTATCTCCTATTAATTCCTCTCTCCAATTTCTCCACTGCCTTAACCGGGTATTGTATTCAAATCCTTTGGGTTGTGTCACTAGATCTGACTAACGCCTTTATCCACTGTGCCATAGAACTATAGACAGAAACCAGGCAGTGTAATTGTTTGTAGACCTAAAGATGTTTTTTTAAGAGTCTGCTATTTATTGACGGTTGTACAATCTCGGAACGTGCGAGTCGCAACGCTATTTATTTCGTCTTCAAGTTTTAACTTTAAAAGAAAAAAATTACAGCCTGACGATGAAGGAATGATTCTTCGAAAATACTTGCTTAACTTAAAAAAAATATACACTAGAAACATCTGATAACAGTTTTATAAATGAGGATCATATCATTCAATGGATTAACAGTATTTTAATGCATGCAATATGTTTCTACTAGCGAAGTGATTTCGCCATTAATCGCATTAATATTGCTGATTGATTCTATGTATGATTATTTCTTTATATATATATATGTATATATATATATATATATATATATATATATATATATATATATATATATATATATTTTATATATATATATATATAGTTTTATATATAATATATATATATATTTATATATATATATATATATATATAGTTTTATATATAATATCTCTCTCTCTCTCTCTATATATATATATATATATATATATATATATATATATATATATATATATATATATATATATAGATAGATAGATGATGAACTGACTGATATAGATAGATAGGTAGATAGATAGAAACTGATGAGATAGATAGATAGATAGATAGATAGATAGATAGATAATCTTTATCATTGTGCTTTTTTATTCTATTAATTTGGCAAAATCACCCCAAAGTCATCTCAGTCCTTCTGTACGTCTTGTTATAAAATTGTTGTAAAATCTGTAATACTTATAAATTAAATACAAATCCATACGCCGAACAGATGTCATGGATGCGTATCGGATAAAATGAACTTTTACTACGTTACGCCATATTACCCTTGTCTTTTCTATAGGTCACGTGACAGGCCAATTTCTCTGTTAAGAAAGATATTGATGAAGGAGATCAGACAGGCTATCTCCTTATCTGCGTAGCATTTCTAGTTATTGTCATGAGAAGGTTTCATTAACGAAAGGAAAGGCGAGGGGAAAACGAGTAGAGAGTAAAGAAGAGATGTAAGACAACCCCCCCAAAAAAAAAACGAATCTGAGAATGAAGAAAGATGAAAAAACAAACGATATTTAGGGTTTGAGGAAAAAAAAAACAAATTAATAAAATGAGAAAATAAGACAAACGTATGATTATTAAATGAAGAGAAACAAAAAGAATATATATAAAAGGTAACCAAAAGCATAATAAAAAAAATGAAAGAAAGAAAAAAAGAAAATTTTAAAAATCTATGAACATGTTTTTTATGAAAGAATGAAAGGGATAAAGAAAAAGTGTAAATAAATTTAAAAAAATGTTAGAATCTGTCAGATTGGATGAAAGACGAATGGAACGAAAGAGCGAATGTCAATATGTCTAAAAATATGAATCGGAGAAGGAAAGGAACTAAGAAAGAAAAAAAATGTATAAAAATGTGAATCGAAGTAAGAAAGAAAAAAAAGAAAAAAAAAAAAGAAAGTCAAAATTTCTAAAAATGTGGTCGAAGAGAGGACAAAAAAGAAAGATAATCATAATGAATAAAAATGTGAATTGCCAAATGAAGAAAACATAGAAAGAAAGAAAGAAATTAGAAATGTGAATCGAAGAAAGAAAAAAAAGAAAATCAAAAAGAATAAAATATGAATTGATAAAAGAAAGAAAAATAGAAATAAAAAATGAAAATCTAAAAATGTGAAGCAATAGAAGAAAGAAACAAAGGAATAAAGAAAGAAAAAAGAAAGAAGATAAAAATGAATAAAAATGTGAATTGATAAAAGAAAGAAACAGAAATAAAGAAAGAAGGAAAGAAACTCAAAACGTCTAAAAATGTGAATCAAAGAAAGAAAAAAAGAAAGAAAGGCAAATCTCTAAAAATGTGAATCGATTGAAGAAAGAAAGAAAAAAAGACAGAAACAAAGTCAAAACGTCTGAATGTATTTAATAACTGAATATCGAAAAAAATGTGAAGCGAAGGACGTAAAAGAAAAAAAAATAAATGACAGAATCAAAGTCAAAATATCTAAAATTGTGACTCGAAGAAAGAAAAAAAGAAGAAAATAAAGAAACTCAAAATGTTTTTATCTGCTTAGTAAATTAATATAAAAGTGGAAAAAAGGTGATAAAATCAAAATGCTTAAAAATGTTAATCGAAGAAAAAGAAAGAAAGAAAGAAAGAAAGAATGAATGAAAGACAATATGTTAAAAACTATTTACCTATTTAAGGAAGAACGAGAAGAGAAAGAAAGAAAGAAAAATGTCAAATGTTTAAAAATGTGAAACTGAGGAAAGGGGAAACATGGAAAGATTAAATGACAGAGGCAAAATGATTACAAATTGGAAACCAAAAAAAATACAAATAAAATAAATAAACGAAATGAAGAAATACTGAAAGCATGCAAACAAGTCTGAAAGAAAGAAAGAAAGAAAGAAAGAAAGAAAGAAAGAAAGAAAGAAAGAAACGGAGAAAAGAAGAAAAACAAAGAAAGTTGACGGGAATAAAAAATAAATAAATAAATAAATAAATAAATAAAGAAAGAAAGAAAGAAAGAAAGAACAAAAAAGAAAGAAAAATGAAGGAAGAAAAAGAAAGAGGACAGGAATAAAAATAAATAAAGAAAGAAAGAAAGAAAGAAAGAAAGAAAGGAAGAAAGAAAGAAAAAAGAAAAACAAAGAAAGTGGAACGGAATAAAAAATATACAAAGAAAGAAAGAAAGAAAGAAAGAAAGAAAGAAAGAACAAAAAAGAAAGATAAATGAAGGAAGAAAAAGAAAGAGGACAGGAATAAAAAATAAAGAAAGAAAGAAAGAAATAAAGAAAGAAAGAAAGAAAGAAAAAAGAAAAACAAAGAAAGTGGAACGGAATAAAAATATACAAAGAAAGAAAGAAAGAAAGAAAGAACGAAAGAAAGAACGAAAGAAAACATAAAGAAGAAAGAACGAATTAAAGAAAGAAAAATGAAGGAAGAAAAAGAAAGACGACAGGAATAAAAATAAATAAATGAAGAAAGAAAGAAAAATAAAGGAAGAAGACTGAAATAAAATATAGAAAGAAAGAAAGAAAAAGAAAGAAAGAATAAAAATATAGAAAGAAAGAACGAAATAAAGAAAGAAAAATGAAGGAAGAAAAATAAATAAATAAATAAATAAAGAAAGAAAGAAAGAAAGAAAGAAAGAAAGAAAAATCTGAAAAAGAAGGAAAGGAAGCAAAAAAAAAATCAACAAGGAACGAAAAACAGGGGCGGGGCTAGAAGTAATAAAAATGACAGATATTTCGAAATAAATGATCGAAGAAATGAAAGAAGAAAAACCAAAGAGGGAATTAATACGAATGACACAAGAGGCAGCTGGGGATCATTGATAAAGAAAACGAGAAAATGGCAAGAAAAAAACAAATTTCCAACGTTTCTTCTCCACAAAGTCAAAAATAAAAAAAAATAAACGAAAAAAGATTCTATTCCAATTAGAGACAAACTCACTGACCGATAACGCGTGTTGTTCAGTACGATTTCTTCCCGCCGTACCCCAATCGCTAAGAAGAGAAGTTATGGCGTCCCCAGTTTCTTCCCATCTTTCCCGCCCAAATGCATCCTCTTCCTGCTTCTGATGCATCCTCTCTTTCTCCATATCTTTTTTTTTTTTTCTTTATCGACTCGGCACTTTTTCTTTCATGTCGATAGATGCTTCTTAGATTAAATAATGGACAGTACTAAAGAACAGCGATATTTGCATTAGGCGTATTTCAGCCACGTGACAACTTGGGGTATTTCATTGCTACATCTTATCGTGTGTACGCGTGTATTAGTCGAGGACTTATGACTCAGATTTCTAACTCAAAAAAGAAATGTCTGAATTTCTGGGATGAGGTGCTGACATTACCATATATATTCGTACTATTGTCCACATCTTATCCACTAGGCTACTGTCCCGTCTAAGAGACAATGACATAGTGGATAAAAGCGTTTGTTTATGAATTTAGTGACATAGTACTGGTAAGTTCAATTCCTGACTAGGGCAGTTTGTACTTATACTCAGCGAGAACCGGCGATCAATAACTGAGAAATATGAAATCAAAATAAGAACTAGACGATGTCTTCAGACATGAGCAGTGAAAGAGAACAGCCACCCCCACTTCGGAGTAGATAAAATAAAGTGCTCTGCTCAGAATACCTAGCAGGTTACTCAGATCAATATACACCTAAGGAAGGCCGGAGGGAACGACGGTCACAAGATTGTGATAACAACAACGAAGATGAGGACAATATTTTGAATTTAAATAGTGTTCTCGTCTTATACACTAGGACATTGTTCCATCTCCGGGAGAATTGCGTAGTGGATAAAAGCGTTGGTTTACGAATTTTAGGAACAAAAAGGAAATACGACTAATACGCTGCGCCGGGGGTTACAGGGAGTGAAGCTAAGAGAAAAGGCTTTTGTATAGGGGGGGGCGAGAAATGGATAAAAGCAGTACGGGGCTCAAGAAGATGGCGATCGACGTAGCATTTAAATTGTTGAAGATTGAAGTTATTAGGGAAGAAAGGAAACGGAAAAGAGTTCCCCAGGCGGGAGGTGCGAGAAAAAAAATCTGTTGGAGTAGAAGTGACGGTTGTATCTATCCAGTTCAACAGTAAAAAGGTGGGACCTAGATGCCAATCTAGTGGCACACGTGAACTCCCGTAGTTCGTGCATCAGAGCTGTAGCCATGAAAAGATTTGTAGAAAAGACAAAACGAGGGAAACCACATCACGTCGTTGAGAAAGTAACTCAAGTAGAGGAGGCAAGTCAGGATCGATTACATTGCAGATTCTTCTTTGAATATTGTCAAGAATCTCGAGATGTTTAGCAGGAGCCGCTGACCAGATGAAGGAAGAATGAACTCCAGACAGAGTACGAACGACTCGGAAAATCACACAAAGTATTTACGTTTATTAACAAAGAAAACATAGTCAATAATGAACGGCTGTCTGCAGTTGTAGTTCGTTAGCATAGGTTACATTCTCTTTGAAGTCTAATTGTAATAATGTAGGATTTAATTCAAGTCCTGGGCGATGTTAATGGTAGTTAGAAATACGACGTCTTTGATATGGAAATATGGTAATGCTAACATTAAACCTTTCTTCATAAAGAATCATTCGACATTCATTGACTGGGTAGGTACGGCCGGTTGAAATATATAAAATCTTTGCATTGAAAAGATAATTCAAGAATTTTTTTTTTTATTTTTCTTCAGGTTCAGTTGGTATAGTCGCATTTTCCAGTATCGATGAGTGTTTCCTTCCTAACCTTTTGTCTAAGGTTGTTTTGAAGGGGAAATTAAATAGAAGCATTAAATGAGCGATACACGTGTCTCTTCAGAGCAAACCCTACATTTGTTATGACTTGTTATGCAGACCTCCATGCACGAGTGAATGGTAGATTTGTAAAACCTATAAAACAAAATATTGGCCTGAAAAACTCCAGTACTGTCATTCAAATAACCTTCATCGGATCGGGACTTTCACAGGGATGTCATGCATGACGTCAAACCCCTTCAAAAGTATCTAAACTGAGAGCTGTATCCAACCACTTTATAAGATTAATGTTTAAAATTGCGAATGAGTATTGTAGGCCTTAGCGAGAATCATCCTTATTAGAACCTTGTAGCCAGGGGTCTACAAAGTCACAAAAAAATACTCTACCCAATAATAGAAACCTTATCAACCAAAGCAAAAAATGAAATCCCAAATTAAACTCGAAGAGAAAATGATGAGCTAATCAAATTTCCCCTTCCAAACAACCTTAGACAAAAGGTAAGTAAAGAAACACCCATCGATACTGGAAAATGCGACGATTCTTACTGGACTTAAAAAAAAAAAAAACATTTTCCTGAATTATCTTTTCAATGCAAAGATTTTATATGTATTTCAACCGACCGTACCTACTCAGTCAATGAATGCCGAATGATTCTTTATGAAGAAAGGTTTAATGTTAGCATTACCATATTTCCATATCAAAGACGTCGCATTTCTAAAAAAAAGAAAAAGAAAAATAACTAAAATCCTTGCTATATTCTTAAACTTAATAACGTAATTCATACGTACCAGTAATTGTTCGCAGCTATACACGATGCAGTACCATCTATAGACATTTCATGGTGTTTCGAGAACAGATATACGTATCTCTTCAGAGTAAGCCCTAAATAGGCAAAAAATAAATTCTTATTTTTTATAGTTTAATAGTTACCTAGCATTAAATTATTGTCTATATCACGAGTTTAAATTGAATTTTTGGACGAGCAAAAAAAGCCAATCTTTTGAGGGAGCTCCATCATCCGAATGACAAATATTTTCTTTGAATGATTTTCACGCTGTTTCGAGAACAGACAGACGTGTCTCTTCAGAGCAAGTCCTAAATAACCAAAATATACATTCTTACATTTCAGGTGTTGTGTCAGTGTTAACGAAGCACCTGAAGATATATATTAATCGTAGAACCGACCTCCCATTCCTGTTCGGTTCGTTATACACATTTACGTGAACATACCTTTGGTGGAAAGTATGAATCCACCTTTTCTACGCCCAGCAATTAGTTAATTAATAAGACTTTCATCACAAAAAAATATTATTATTTCACCCCCCCACCGCCACCAAATCATACAATCCAAAAATATTTTCTGACTTTAAATAACCTATAAAAAGGTCTATAAACCGGAGAAAACGGATCAATCAATAAATGGAAACGGCCCAAGAATAAGTAAGCAGTACTAAAATAAAGACCTAGACAATATCCTGACATATAGACAGTAGAAGGAGCCCGTTCTACCCCACCCTGTAGATTCAATAAACTGTTCCCATCGCAGTAGATCGATATATACACGAGGAAGGCCGGAGGTTACGGCGAGCGAAACGTTGTGAGAACAACAACAAAGATAAGGACAATATTTCGAATATAAATAATGTAAATATATTAGGTTGGTGCAAAAATAATTTCGTTTTCTTACATAGTAACATATGTTAGAAAACGAAATTATTTTTGCACCAACCTAATATTTGACAGGTCAGTGTTATTCCAACCATAATGTACAGAGCCATGATTTTTTTCCATGTGTCTATTCTAAGAAACAAATATTGTATAGATCCGAGAATAGAAATTACTTTTTTTAAACATCAAATTTTTGAGTCAAATAAATGAAGGAACCGAAAGCCTTGTTACATTGAATGAAGAGGTATTTATAACTAAATCTTAAAAGCAAATTTCTGTTAGCGCCTTTTTCATCCGAATGACAACAGCATTTTCTTGATTGACTATGCTTATTCTAAACTGCTGCCTGGCCTCAGTAAGGTTCGAAAGAAATATCTTAGAGTTTAAAGTTTTTACCACCAGAGTGAAGAGAGATCTAAGATATTTCCAATGCGTCTATCCTCAGAGCAAAATATATTGTATCGTGCAGATTCGATAACAGAAATTACTTTTGTTAAAGATCGAATTGTTGAGACAAATAAAATAAAAAAGGCAAAAGCCTTAAGTTGAACTGGGTGCACAGTAAGTCAGCCCCGAGCTATGGGGTTTGGGAAAAGCAATTTTCATGAGAAGACACTTCCAGAAGGATGTCATAGGAGCAAGGATTTTCCTATCCGCTCGGTAATAATGGCCGGCAAACTGTAATCTTTTTTGTCCCAGCTAAAAAAGTATTGGTCTCAGTTCTCCGGAAATTGTGTTGCATGGGATCTTCAACTGATGTTCTTGGTTTTTCTAACTAGATTATTTTTTTGTAATTCCCGTTTGTAGGAGAGACTTTGTAAATCACAAACACAATAATACTAACGCCTTTGAACAATACACGCTCAAGCGCCGCTAATTCCCATATATATATATATATATATATATATATATATATATGAAGAAAAATACTCTTAAGGTGTGTTATATTTGTGGGATAGAGTGCTCAATATCAGAGATAGAGCGTGTGGCCTGATGATTGCGTCTAGCATGAAACAGCCTGTCGCCTTGTCGAAGTGTTTACTTCAATGTCCACTTTCATATATATATATATATATATATATATATATACAATGAAGACCATATTCTTGTGGGATTTCTCAAGCAAAGCACAGGTCCAATGTTAAAGCATTTTCTTTAGGTTGGGTCCAAATCTTCGCTGTCCTCGCAGCTTTTGCAGACATATTAATCAACTCCTGTAATAATTACGCTAAAAATGGCTTAGGGAATTTAAATTTGGAGAGAGATTCGCCAAACAAACAAGAGAATTAACGAGTATTAAGGAATTTAATAAAAACAAACAAACAAAAAAGAATGTCCAAATTCGTAAATTCTAAATTACCATCGCAAAAAAGCTGAAATTTTTAGAGTTGTATTTCTAAGTTCTTTTTACATGTTATTCTGTATTTCGTTGGGAGTAAACGAAATAAAAAGTCGGTTCGGTTACCTGCGAGTAGACATTATGTCCTGAACCGGGAGAAAAGATTTGATAGTAATTAGAAGAGAACGTCATTGAATCTCTCTATAGAATTCGACGAAGGCGAAATCTATAAAATATATGATGACATTAAAGGGGCGCTTATTTATATTTTATATCAGCAGTCAAAACTCATGAATGGGAAATAAAATAATGAAGAAGTATAAACGAGAGGAAGGCGGTGGAAATACAGAAATAGATAAACACACACAGATATATATATATATATATATATATATATATATATATATATATATATATATATATAGAGAGAGAGATAGATAGATAGATAGATAGATAGATAGATAGATAATGAACAGACCGAGATAGAAAGATTAATACATAGATATGCAAATAGATATGAGCGGACTGACAGAGATAGATAGATAGATAGATAGATAGATAGATAGATAGATAGATAGATAGATAGATATGAACAGACTGATACATATACGAATTGATAGATAGAGATATAGATAGATAGACAGATATGAGCAGAATGAGATAGATAGATAGATAGATAGATAGATATGAACAGACTGATACATATACGAATTGATAGATAGAGATATAGATAGATAGACAGATATGAGCAGAATGAGATAGATAGATAGATAGATAGATAGATAGATAGATAGATAGATAGATAGATATGAGCAGACAGACATAGATAGATAGATCGATAGATACCAGAGGACTGACATATACCATCATTCCCATTTATAATACACAATGTTTCTTAAAAAAATAATAAGCAAAATTAGGGGTGAGTATTATGCACAGCTACAAGAACTTTAAAAAATACAGTTTCATAGGTCAGTTGCGAATGACAACTCACCAAAAACATACGACAATTTGACACTAACATTCGATGATTGCGACCCCATAAGGATGTCAAATACAATCATATGTAACAATACTTACGAATGTAAAATAAAATAAGAATTATCATGAAAACTAAATTAGAATAATATTAATCTATGTTTAATAAGTGTAGAAAACGTTGGCCATAATGAAATTGGAGAGATACAATTTATAGTGTTTAATTAAGAAACAAGGGGTGTGTATTATGCGTCAGTCGAAACATTTTTCAACACTTATAGCCCAATTTTAGGGGTGCGTATTATGGATGAAGGTGTATTATACATGGGGAACTATGGTGTATATATATATATATATATATATATATATATATATATATATATATATATATATGACGAACGGCATGCAATCTTTCTATAAAATTCGATGAAGCCCTGATTTGTAAAATATTTTATGATATTAAGGTGGCGCGAATTTATATTTTATGTGAGCAATCAAAACATAAGAATGGTAGATAAAACTATAAAAATATAAACTAGAGGAAAGCGGGTGGAAATACAGAAATAGATATATAGATAGATAGATAATGAACATACATATATATATATATATATATATATATATATATCTGAAGGAGGAAGTGGAGAAATATAAAATGTCAGTTCGCTTCCCCGCGAGCAAACATTATGTCCTGAACCGGGAGAAAAGATCTGATAGTAATTAGAAGAGAACGTCATTGAATCTCTCTATAGAATTCGACGAAGGCGAGATCTATAAAATATTTCATGATATTAAGGGGGCGCTTATTTATATTTTATATCAGCAGTCAAAACTTATGAATGGGAAATACATTAATGAAGAAGAATAAGCGAGAGGAAGTCTAGGGTAAAGACTGAGATAAATAGATAGATAGATAGATAAATAGATGGCAACAGACTTATATACACACTTACATATATATATATATATATATATATATATATATATATATATATATATATATATATATATATACACTAGTGGAGAAAACCGCATCGAAATCGGGTGAGAATGTGGCCTGGGCGAGGTAACAACGCCCACGACAGACACACAAGACAGACAATATGAGAAATATAGATAGTATATATATATATATAGATAGTATATATATGTATAATTATTTATTTAAATAAAAAAATTTATAACATAAATATGTTATAAAACCACTACAAAAATAGCCATTTTGTTTCAACACCCTCGGTGTCTTAACAAGTGATGATGTTGAATGTAAAATAAATGGTTTTAAAAGTTTCAAATTAATTAACTATCCTTTGTATTAAGCACTCTTTTAAGAATAGTATTTGTTGGTTATTGGAATTCATTCCATATACACCAATCATACACTTGGGTATATATATATATATATATATATATATATATATATATATATATATATATATATATATATATGTTTTTCATTAAAGAGGACAGACAAGGTACTACGATTAAGTTTGTTATTTAGTTTTTCTTGGGTTCGAACAAGTGTTTCCTTTTTTGGGACACAGAATATGTAGAAACTGTCCAAATGTTCAGTAATCCGAGAGCTTTCGGCTATACTTTTAGCTATTATCAAAGGTGATTATATTTTTTCAATTTAATTAGGTGTTTGGGTTGCGGTGATGTTTTTAGTGTTATAGATATATCTTATTTTCCGAACACAGCACATAAAGGCATAATAACCTCATCCACGGGTAAAAATAAAAATAAAAATAAAAATAATCGAAGCCTTAATAATTGTTGTGGATTCCGGGATGAAATCCGGTCTCAAATGAATGACAAACGCAGGAATGAAATATAACAAATTGACGTAATAATAGAATTGGTAATACGGTTAGTAGATCCAGAAATGCGGTTAGTAGCAATAATAATATATATACAGTCTGGGAAATTCCGTATCGAAGTATGACTTCCTTCTGAGTCTAGGTGCTCGCAACTGTGACTCCAACAAAGCGGTTACCACACACTCTCACTCCCTCACTGTCTGACTTTTTGACTCCGACTTCCGGGTATTCACCGGCAGCAGTACAAGTACACACTGGGCGAGTCCACTTGTATGAAAAGGGGTGGACCCCTTAACAATAATAAAAAACAAAAAATCAACACATAATAATATTAACTCCTAACAAGACCACAGTCTTTAAATATTCAAATGTAATGTACTAACCGCATTGCTGGATCTACTAACCGTATTACCAATTGTATTATTACGTCAATACATTTATTTGTTATATTTCATTCCTGTGTTTGTCATTCATTTTGAGACCGGATTTCATCCCGGAATCCACAACAGATAGATAGATAGATAGATAGATAGATAGATAGATAGATAGATAGATAGATAACGAAGAAACACAGATAGATAGATAGATAGATAGATAGATAGATAGATAGATAGATAAATAGATAGATAGATAGATAGATAACGAAGAAACACAGATAGATAGATAGATAGATAGATAGATAGATAACGAAGAAACACAGATAGATAGATAGATAGATAGATAGATAGATAGATAGATAACGAAGAAACACAGATAGATAGATAGATAGATAGATAGATAGATAGATAGATAGATAGAAAAAAAGAAATAGACTGAGATAGATAGATAGATAGATAACGAAGAAACTCAGATAGATAATGTTAAGTGGTCCACCCCTTTTTCATACAAGTGGACTCGCCCAGTGTGTACTTGTACTGCTGCCGGTGAATACCCAGAGGGTGATACAGTGAGAGAGTGAGAGTGTGAGGTAACCGCTTTGTTGGAGTCACAGTTGCGAGCACGTAGACTCAGAAGGAAGTCATACTTCGATACTGAATTTCCCAGACTGTATATATATTATTATTATTGCTACTAACCGCATTTCTGGATCTACTAACTACCAATTGTATTATTACTTCAATACATTTATTTGTTATATTTCATTCCTGCGTTTGTCATTCATTTGAGACCGGATTTCATCCCGGAATCCACAACAATTATAAAGGCTTCCATTATTTTTATTTTTTATTTTTTTACACGTGGATGAGATTATTATTATTTGCCATTCGAAAACCTTTACGTCATGTATGCTGTAAATCTTTGCTCCAATCGCTATAATGGTTGATACACAGTTTTAAATCTTTTTTTGTTTGTTGTCGTCACAACGTTTCGGGTGTTTTTTCCATCCAGACTTCCTCAGGAGTATATTGATATGTGTAACCTAGAGTGAATTCTGAACTTAACACTTTATTTAATTTACTGGTGTAGACGGTACTATTGCGGATGTCTAGAGATATCGAATATCGACTTATTTTTTTTTAGTCATCTTTCATTTATGTGCCGTGTCCCTTCACGACGTAGGCGATCATGGCTCTCCACTTCTTCCTGTCGTTTGTAGCTCTCAATAAGCATTGACTTTTTGTTATTTCTCCCAGACCCTGTTCGGCTATCCACTTGTTAAGTATGCCACGCGTTGCTTTCCGTTGTCGCTCTTGCCCTCTATCCGCCCTGTGAGTATTATATTTTCCAAGCCCTCTTTTCTCACTACGTGCCAAAGAAATTTCAGCTGCCTCTTTCTAATGTTAAGTATAAGCTTCCTCTTTGTTAGCATCCTCTCGAAGACCTCATTGTTGCTCACATGTTCGGCCCACGGTATCCCTAGCATTCTTCTGTAAAATCATATATTTGTTGCCTCGAGTCTCTTCTTCTATTTTCAAAAGACCGTCAAACATTCGCTGCCGTAAAGGAGGACGGATATCATAGAGCAGTTCAGTACTCTTTTCTTTGTTACCAACAACCAACCCCCCTACCTATCTCGTAATATATTGGCTAGCTTTTGGAATACATTTTTGGCCATCGCGATACGTCTTCGGATTTCGGCGTCGCATTTTCTGTCCTCTGTTAGAAGACTTCACAGATATTTAAATTTCGGCACTTGCTTGATTTTAGTGCCCCCCCACCCACCTGTAAATCTCATTTTGGGCTCATCTTTTTACAGATGACCATGCATTCTGTCTTTTGTAGTTTATACATAGTCCCTTCTTCTCGCTCTCATTCGCTAGCTTTTAGGTTTATAGCTTTCATAATTCTCCCAAACCATTCTCTCATCCACTTGCTTAAGCCCGCTGGGTATGTCACGCGCTGCTTTCCCTTGTTCTTTCTATCCGCCCTGTGAGTATCAGAATTTCCCAGCCTTTCTTTCTTATTAAGTGTCCCAGAAATTTCAGCTAGTTCTTTCTGATGTTAAGTATAAGTTTCCTTTTTGTTTGCATCCTCTCCAAAACCTCATAGTTGCTTTTATGTACGGTTCATGCTATCCTTAGCATCCTTCCGTAGAACCATATCTCTGTTGCCTAGAGTGTCTTCTTTGTCTTTAAGGAAACAACATTGCTGCCCTAAAGGAGGACAGATATCACATAGCAGTTCAGTATTCTTTTCTTTGTTACCAACGTAAACCACTGTCTCGTAATATTCTGGTCCTTGGCTATCCCAATACTTCGGACCACAGTGTCACACTTCCGTCCTCTGTCAGAAGACTTCCGGGATATTTAAATTTCGGCACCTGCTTGATTTTAGTGCCCCAAACCTGTAAATCTCATTTCGGGCTCATCTTTTTACAGATGACCATGCATTCTGTCTTCTTGTAGTTTATACATAGTCCTTTCTTCTCGCTCTCCTTCGCTACCTTTTAGTTTTGTCCCTTTCTTACTTCTCCCAGACTATTCTCTTAATCAATCGCTTAAGTCCGCTATATATGACACGCGTTGCTTTCCCTTGATCCTTTTTTTCTCCGTTCAAACTTCCGCACATGCTTGATTTTTACTGTCTCCGACCTTTTAATCGCATTTCTGGCTCATCTTTTTGCTGATGACCATGTCTTTTAAATACTGTTCAGCTATTGATTGCCTTTTTTCCATTCAGTCCAAGTACACACTGCCCAGCTCAGGAATTGAACTCGCAATCACTATACACAGAAAAAAAAAAAACTATTTTAATATTTTATGACTTGAACTTGAAATTTATATTCCAACAAAATTATAGCTTTTCCATACACTAGCTAGAAAGCTGATGTTTACAATTTCTATTGGAAACCGTTCCATGCAGCTAAATCTATTTATAAGCACTTTTTTCAGGAACCTATAAAGGTGTCGATCCAGTTCAGTTTCACTAACCCTTGATGACATTTGAGCGATAACGCCGCTAATGTTTCAGCCTCTTCACCGATTCCAGACATTTTTACCGGTAATTACACAAAAATCGCAATTTTGTTTTTATCACAAGAGTTGATTCAATGTAGAATAGATAAGTTCAGTGTGTTGTGGTTAAACATATTTATTTGAGTAGTTTTTTTCTTTTTTTTTACCGTCCAGAGTATTTTATCAACTAACGACATTAGTACGCTAAAAGTAGAATCTATATTTCTGGTAACTGTTGCTCGATTATAAACGAATTTAAGTATAAAAAGAATCACGAGTTGGAAACTTATGTATATTTGCCAGTTGACATATATTAAGAAACAATAGAATGAAATGTTTTACAGAAAATAAAGACATAATCTGATGGACACTCAATGTTTTCACTCCATTTATTTATTTATTTATTTTTACTTCTGCAAAATAACCTATATTTATTGCAAATTCCGATAACTTGTCTCATATCATTATTTTCAGGACTATGCCTCAATTCACTTAGGCGTTCCACTCTAGACTCCATTATAAACGATCAATAGTTACCCAACCCTGAACGAAGTAAATGCTTACTGACTAAAATATAAATGACCAATATTTACCTATTCCCAAACTTGGCCTTATAAACTCGAATATGTGACGACTACTTTCCTATCTACGTAACTAGTACATGTTTATAGACTTAAATATAAATAAGCAATGTCGCCACTCTTGAACGGCTTACAGGTTCAAATATTACCCAATAATATCAGCTGTGAATTAATGGATAACGGCTCGGATTCGGGAATCGACGAGCCGAGTTCGAATTCCAGTTACATGCTAATACCCTTGGGAAAGGTATGAATCCTCTTCTTCTTCTCCCACCCAGCAATGGATGAATAGCAGGACAGACCGGGCAGCTCGGATTGAGGAATCGGAGAGCCGAGTTCGAATTCCAGCCGAATCCATTACATTCACTTATGTGCTAATACCCTTGGGAAAGGTATGAATCCTCTTCTTCTTCTCCCACCCAGGAATGGATGAATAGCAGGACAGACTGGGCAGCTCGGATTGAGGAATCGGAGAGCCGAGTTCGAATTCCAGTCGAATCCATTACATTCACTTACGTGCTAATACCCTTGGGAAAGGTATGAATCCTCTTCTTCTTCTCCCACCCAGCAATGGATGAATAGCAGGACAGACCGGGCAGCTCGGATTGAGGAATCGGAGAGCCGAGTTCGAATTCCAGCCGAATCCATTACATTCACTTATGTGCTAATACCCTTGGGAAAGGTATGAATCCTCTTCTTCTTCTCCCACCCAGCAATGGATGAATAGCAGGACAGACCGGGCAGCTCGGATTGAGGAATCGGAGAGCCGAGTTCGAATTCCAGTCGAATCCATAACATTCACATACATGCTAATACCCTTGGGAAAAGTATGAATCCTCTTGTTCTCCCCGACCAGCTATGCCGTCCTGGGTATGACGATAAACTAGATCCGCGTCCTGGGTAAGACGATAAACTACATCCGCGTCCTGGGTAAGACGATAAACTACATCCGCCCCCTGGGTAAGACGATAAACTACGTCCAACAGCATTGATCAGGAGGTTTTGAGGAGCGTGGAACCACCACTTAATTGCTGGTGTTCCCAGGTCCACCATGACCCGGGGTGGTAGCCCCTGTTAGGGTCCCAGCTATCGGTAAATAGTTAACCCCCAAACTGGGGTCAAAACACTATGGCGACCTACTGCGGGAAAAATCTGCCTCTTCAGTCATGTATCGAATCATACATGATCACCTAAGCGTGTATCACGCATGGCACATAACTGACTGAACGAAGGAAAAGCTTATAGACTGCAAAATAGACGACCAATATGTATCGATCCCCAAACCTAGTAATTTTTTATAGAGTTAAATATAAAGGACCAATATCTACCAATAACAACATCAAAGCTTACTAATTGGAATATAAGCGTCCAAGTTTTCCTCTCTCCTTAACCAAATAAATGCTTACATAATGCTTAAAGCTTCGTGTTCTAAACAGGTAACCCTCATGGAATGTGTCCAAATGAAGTTTAATTTTCTACTTCTTCCAGCGTCGTTCAAGTGTTTGTATACCATTGATTAAGTAGTTTTCATCCTGTTGGTTAAAACAAAAAAGTCAACATCAGATATAAAGTTATCATCACTTCTATATCATCACTGATAATCATGCACAGTCAGTTTTCTTTCATGCTGGGGAACAGATGATAGTCCGATGGGTCCAAATCGGGAGTATATAGAGTGCCATCAACCAGTTCAAAGCCACAGACACACACAGCAGCCATTGAAACGAAGGATTGTTTGCAGTAGCACTGACCTGTTAAAACAAGACCCCAATCCTCAGTTGTCCTGTGCTTTTGCTCTTGATAGCCTTTTGTAACTATGTCGGAAAGTTAGTATAGAACACTGCATTGTTAGTGCGGCCCTTTTGAAGTGTTGTGGAGTGATTTCACAGTGGAGGCTTGTATTTGTACTCGGTCCTAAAATAGGTTCAACGTACAAAACGTTAGGAACTTGATATAATAGGTATGACGCAGAGTAATCTAGTTGTGGTCGCTGATACTTTCGTATTCAACTAACTGTCGTCCGACATCGACTCACTGACTGACTCACTGACCCCCACCTTACTCTTACTACTCCTACTTATTATAGGTGGGGGAGTCTGTTAACTATAGAATAGGTGTGTTCCGCTATAACATGAAGATATTTAATAAACACAATAAATTTTGAATTCCGAAAATATGACGTTATCACTTTACTTTCAAATGAATCGACCTCAGTTTTCTTCAGAGCAGGTGACGAGGGGCGTTTGCATTGTATGGATTATCTCTTTGTCTCTGGCTCAAACTGATGAACCCAACATTCCTCCTGGGTTTGGAAACGTTCAAAAAAACCAACTGAATCTATTAGGTTGGTGCAAAAATAATGTCGTTTTTTGACGTTCAACTTCAAAAGATCATAACTCCTTTCATAATAAACTTTATTAATCGAAATAAGAACCGTTAGAATCGACACATTTTTGCCAACGAGAAACAAGTATATTTATCCCATTATTATAGAAATCCGGAGTTCTGGAAGCGATGAAGTCATTGAAAACCGATTCGGCATCATCTCGGCTTTTGAAGCATTTTTCGCGCAGGAAGTTGTCGAGATGCTTGAAAAAGGTGGGCGAGAGGTCCGGTGAATATGGCGGATGAGGCAGAGTCTCGTAGCCCAATTCGTTCAGCTTCTGCAGCGTCAGTTGAGCAACATCCGGGCGAGCGTTGTCATGGAGGAGAATTGGTCCCTTCATATTGACCAATCTCGGGCACATACGTTGGAGCTTCTGGTGCATTTCGTTAATTTGTCGGCAGTACTTCTTCGCCGTAATCGTTTCGTCCGGATTCAAGAAGCTGTGATGGATGAGACCGGCCACAGACCATCAAACAGTCACATAACCCTTTTTGGTGCAATTTCGGCTTCGGGAAGTGTTGTGGACCTTCTCCGGCATCCAACCACTGTGCCGAACGTCGCCGGTTGTCGTAGAGGATCCACTTCTCATCACACGTCACAATCCGCTCGAGAAATGGGTTGTTTTTGTTGCGCAGAAGGAGCGTAGAAGACACCTCAAAACTACGATTTTTTTGATTATCGTTCAATTCATGCGGTACCCATTTATCCAACTTTTTTGACTTCCCTATTTGCTTTAAATGGCGAACGACTGTTGAATGGTCGACCTCGAGTTCAACAGCAACTTCTCGTGTGGTTCTGCGAGAATCGGCTTCAAATGTTCGTTATCAACCGCAGTCGGCTGGCCGCGACCGTCTTCATCTTCGAGGCTCTCGACACCATTGCGAAATTTCTTGAACCACCGTTGTGCCACACGTTCGTTAGTACTTCCTGGGCCAAACGCATCATTGATATCACGGGCTGTCTCGGCAGCTTTTCGGCCTAGTTTGAACTGGAACAAGAAAATCGTGTGGATTTGAATTTTGTCCATGCTGTCGAAAAGCCTGCAGAAAAATGAATGAAGAGATTGAGAACGGTAACGAATAACACGATTCGATAGAGCGAAAAACGCACTTCAAAATGATATATAACATGGCTATATATATATATATATATCAATGAATTAATTCAGAAATCATATATAAAGTAACATATGTGAGAAAAGGGCATTATTTTTGCACCAACCTAATACCACAAATAATATCAGATTTCCTTGTGATGTGCGCTTTTGACCAAGATGTGGTACCCACCGAGCAGAAATCTTCGTCGGACTAAGTTCATTGTGCACAACGTCCTCTACCCTCTAGGAATAGCATTGGCTATTTGATTTAGGGTCAGTCGCCTGACACCCATTACTATGTGGTGAATACTATCAATCTTTTCCTCGGTGGGGACAGTTGTAGGACGTCCAGACCTTGGATCATCTTTTAGAATATCACTTCTCCTGCTAAATTCAGCTGTTGATAAAACTGGAGCATCAACCCATAATGTATCAAGCATATCAGCCTCTGGGGAGAAAGGTCTTTTTGTGCAGGTACTTGACAACCCAGGACGCCAAAATTGTGTCCATTTTCAAGAGAGATCTCTACTGGTTACACTTGAATAGTCAGATGTCAGTTTACCTGAAAAGAGACAATGCATATAATCAGTTCCTTTTTCTTTTTATCTGCCATGTCCTTTCAGGACGTAGGCGATCAAGGCTCTCCGCCTCCCTCGATGTCTTTCGGTGGTCAAGTTCCTTCCCTCTGTTTGCTCCTGCATACCACGCTCTGTTATCCACTTGCTTAAGCCCGCCAGATATGTCAGGTTGTTTTCCCTTGTCTCTCTCTCTTTCCCTCTATTCGACCCATGAGTATCAGATTTTCCAGGCCTTCCTTCCTCGTTATGTGTCACAAAAACTTTAGCTGCCTCTTCCTGATGCTAAGTATAAGCCTCCTCCTTGTTTGCATCCTATCTAAGTCCTCATAGTTGTTCACACACTCGGTCAATGATATCCTCAGCATCCTTCTGTAGAAACACATCTCTGTCGCCTTGAGTCTCTTCTTCATCTTTGAGGAAATCGTCCAACATTCGCTGCCGTAAAGAAGGATAGATGTCGCGTAACAGCTCAGTATTCTTTTCTTTGTTACCAAAGAAATCCTCCTGTCTCGTAAAACTCTACCCAGCTTTTGGAATGTGTCCTCGGCCATCCCAATACGTCTACGGATCTCAATGTCGCACTTAGCGCCTTGTGTCAAAACGCTTCCCAGATAATTAAACTTTCGCGGCTGCTTGATTCTAGTGTTCCCGACCTGAAAATCGAATTTCGAGCTCATCAAAATCAGTACATGCAAGATTTCATCGTCAGCCTATGTAATTTCCAGCCCACCCTCATATCCCGAAACTAACCTATATTTATTACAAATTCCGGTAACTTGTTTGATATCATTATTTTCATGACAATGGCTTAATTCACAGCCTTCCGTTTTAGACCCGTCCTGGGTATGACGATAAACTACATCCGCGTCTAGGGTAAGACGATAAACTACGTCCAACAGTAAGGCCTCAGATCAGGAGGATTTGAGAAGTGTAGAACAATCTCTTAATTGCTGAAGTTCCCAGATCCATCCTGAACCGAGGTGGTAGTACCTGTTAGGGTCCGAGCTATGGGCAAATAGTTAACCCAAAAACAGAAGTAAAAAGCATTTTAAAAGTGTAAAAATAGGTTTTAATACCAGAAATACTTTGTAAAAAATTATTACCAGAAATAAATTTTTGAAGAAAAAAAATATTACCAACAATATGTCTTTGAAACAAAAAAAAAAAAAAAAAATTACCAGCAGTTTTTTTTTAAAAAAATAGTATTACCAGCTATACATTTTTGAGGAAAAAAATATTAACAGAAATAGCTTTTTGACAAAACAAAAATATTACCAGGAAAAAAAAGTTGTCGGCATTAAATGATCCATTGAGGTTGATATACCGTAAAATAAAACAAACCAAACCATTTTAGACTTCAACATAAAGAGGAATATTTAGCTAACCCCGAACCCCGAGTAAATTTTTACAGACTCAAATATGAATGACCAATACTTACCTATTTTCAAAAGTAAAAACTTATAGATTCCATTATAAGTGATGATTATTTTCCTATCTACATACTTAGTAGATGTTTATAGGCTGGAATATAAACAAGCGAAATGTACCTTCTTGAACTAAGTAAATGCTTACAGGCTCAAATACAACCCAACTGCTAACGAAGTCAAATCTAGACTTCAAAATAAACAGCCGATATTTACTTATCCTTCCAGGCAAGTAAGTGTAGAATCAAATATATATATATATATATCTATACTCGCACCAAATAAAGAATTACTGATTCGAAAATGAACTTCCAATCTTTTCCCATTGCTGAACAAAGTAAATGCTTATAAACGCAAATATAAGCGACCCATTAATACCAAAATTATGGGATGTCTGCAATTCTTACGATTTTGGACATCCTCCTCGAAGACATCCAATTGACTTTACGCTATATTTGAGTTTCTCTTTGTATCTCAGAAAAGGTATTCCAATATTAATTTGATCACCGTGAACTTGTCACCTGTGGAACTCTCTTACAATTGCTCGCATCCCTGCCACCTAGAATCTTCAAAATTTAAACGTGTTTTTAATTGCCATATTTTTGTGATGTCAACGAACCTCGTTTGCCACTTCTGTAATTCGAACGAATACTCGTTGTCACTTTCGTCATGCTTGTCGTAGTAGAGACTTTGTAAACGCAGATGATGATGATGATGATGATGGTGATGGTGAGTAGGAGGATGATGAGGATAATGATGATAATGAGGATGATAATGAGGATGATGATGATGGTGATGATGATAAGGATGATGAGGATGAGAGAGATGATGATGAGGATGATGATGATCATGAGGATGATGATGATGATGGTGATGATGATAAGGATAATGAGGATGTTAGAGATGATGATGAGGAGGAGGAGGATGATGGAGATGATGATAAGGATGATGATGATGATGATGAGGATGATGATGAGGAGGAGGATGAGGATAATTATGAGGATAAGGATGATAATTGTGACGATCATGAGGATGGTGATGGTGATGTTGGGGATGAGGATGATGAGGATGATGATGATGGTGATGATGATAAGGATAATGAGGATGTTAGAGATGATGATGAGGATGATGATGATGGTGATGATGAGGATGAAGATTAGGATGATGAGGATTATGATGATGAGGAGGATGATGAGGATAATTATGAGGATAAGGATGATAATTGTGACGATCATGAGGATGGTGATGATGATGCTGGCGATGAGGATGTTGGGGATGATGATGATGAAGTGATGATGATAAGGAAAATGAGGATGTTAAAGATGATGGAGATGATGAGGATGATGGAGATGATGAAGATGATGAGGATGATGATGATAAGGATAATGAGGATAAGTGTGAGGATAAGGATCATAATTATGACGATGATGAGAATGGTGATGATGATGATGATGAGGATGATGATGGTGATGATGATGAGGATGATGATGGTGATGATGATGAGGATGATGATGGTGATGATGATGGGGATGATGATGATGATGATGATGGGATGAGAATGATGATGAGAATAATGAGGATGATCATGGTGGGAATGATGATGATAATGGGGATGATGATGAGGATTTGAATGATAATGATGACGATGATGATCCATAACTACATGCAAACGAATGCCACTTTTGTTAAAAGTTAAATCAATAGGTAAGAGTACGTACGAAATGCATATATTGTTGAAAATTCCTATTTCCACAATATAGATATTTATGCTATCTTATAATACTTATTAGCTAAACAATAATAATACTGAATAAACTTAGTTTTAAACATTAAAGTATATTTAACCACATCTCCCTAAAAGCTGTCGCGATCTGTTAATTTCATATAATAAATAATATTAAGCCCTAATCTGTACTGAGCCATTTTTCGAATTATACTCCATTTGGAGTCTGTCTATATTTCTGAGATGAGGTATTATGTACAGTATTTACATTAGTCGGACTATTGTCCTCATCTTTGTCGTCATATTTGTCACAACGTGAATAAAGGCGTTGGTTACCCAGTGACAGACCCAAAGAAGGTGAGTTCAATTCCTGGTTAAGGCAGTGGAGAACTTTCGGAGGGAAAATTAGAAGGAGATAACTGATAACTGACATCCATGAAACATGGCAGGTGGAACTAGAACAGTCTACCCCAGTGATCGAAATAAAGGGTTCAGTTCGAAATTCCAACCACCTGAAGAAGGCCGGAGCGTACAACGGACGAAACGTTGTGACAAATATGACGACAAAGATGAGGAGAATAGTCCGACTAATGTAAATATTATACTCCATTTGTTTTGTTTTTCTGACCAGTTTTTGGAATGCGTCTTAGGCCATCCCAATACGTCTACAGATCTCAGTGTCGCATTTACCGGCTCCTCACAGAATTCTTCCAAGATAGTTAAACTTCTGCGTCTGCTTGATTTTAGGGTCCTCGACCTGCAAATCGCATTTCAGGCTCTTCTTCTTACTGATGACCACGCATTCCCTCTTCTTGTAGTTTTTCCTTAGTCCCTTCTTCTTGCTCTCCTTCGCTACCTTCTGTAGGAGATTTTGTAATTTCTTTTCCTTGTCTGCTATCAGTACCATGTCATCTGCGTATTGTTGTTAAGATTGTGGTCGCCAATGCTGAAGCCCGGTAGGGTAGCCAATTCTCTCACGTTTGCCTCGCTATATTACCTAAACAATAATAATACTGAAGAATTTCTTTTTAAACATTAAAGTATATTTAATCGCATCGCCACGATCTGTAAATAATATAAATATTAATTACCTTATATTCAGCATCATTTATTTACTTTCGTTTATTAAATTACGTCACTTAGCATCTTCCATAATTTACCGTAGCTAGACTGATGTACAGCGTCACTTAAATTTTATATATAAAGTACAGTGTATGTATATGATTGTGCGTGTGTGCGTCCAAGCAACTCCAAATGATGCGATTTCAATGATTCATAACTCATTCAAAAACTCTAAAAAAATTAGGCGCAGGGAACGATTTTCGTTGAGCTTAGATTCACGGTTGCCAGATTATGCGAGGTTAAAAATATATATTAATATATTATAGTAACCATCGTCGTTGCTTTCATGGGAATAACTTATTTTCCTTTTGTATTCAAAAGTGCAGCTAGCTTAAAATTTTAAGCTAGCTCTTGTGGAGGAATCTTGGTTTGGTCATCATCACAGTAGCTAGTGGGGAGGTGATGCGATAGGCATCAATAAACTACAGAATAACTCAAAATTGATCGTTGCATTTAAGTATAAAATTAATGTTTATGGTTATCTTTTAAAAGTTCAACGATAATTCTTCTGCTGCTACTTACTTTTAAAGACCATTTGATGTTCTTTATTTTCCGTACAAACAATTATTATTATTATTTATAATTTATTTAATGGGTGAAAGAACAGGGGACAATTTATAAGATCAAATTAATATAGTATAAAGATGGGAAAACAGAAATTAGAATTAATTATACATTCAACATTTGAAGCGTTAGAGAAACATAATAGCTAATGAAGTAAAACCAATATAATGGAATATATGTGAAATTGGAGCTCAATTCTATCCCGATATCTGAGAGTAAAAAAAAAAACAACTCTATCGTAATTTACAATCAAAGTGCTCAATATCTGTGTTATATATTATCTACTCAGAAGCAATATCACTCTTCAGGTTTAACTAATTTGCAAATTGATTTTAAAAAAAAGAAGTTTATTTCATTAATTACCTTTCCTTCATTATTGTTCTTTTATTCGAGGATTGTTTTGATTTTCATATCAAAAATAGTTCTGTTTAGGAACATCGTCTTATATAGTACAGAAAAGTGTTTGAAATTTGCATTTTACTTGGTCAACAAGTTGGCATCTATTTGTAAACTTTCAAACAAACCATTTTTATGAATGAAATGTTCATTCAAAATTTTTGCTTCAAAGATTTCAAGTAGTGAATAAATCTGTATATTAGCAAAGCCTGCTAATATAAAATATGAAACAGACTGTCGCCTCTAAGTGTTGACTTCTATGTTCACTTTTATATATATATATATATATATATATATATATATATGAATAAAGACAAAAAGACTTTTCCAGTGAAACATGACACAGTGAACATGTTAGTACTTTGTATGTCCATTTCATGAAGTCCTTTCTTGCAGGTTAACCACAGATTCTCGATTGGATTTAAATCAGGAGAGTTTCTGGTCCAGTCTATATTACTCTGATTTGTTCACTAGTAATGTTTGCCAGTGTGTCCGTGCAGCGTTACAATTTTCGTACGCTTTCTTGGAGTAACGTCGATCGCAGATAATGGTCGTAAAACAACTAATCTGGTAAAATTTCTCGAGCATTTACTTAAATATTTGTATCTATAAAAAGAATGTATAAACATAAAAATGTCTTAAAATAACTGTCGGAGTTTGTCCATTTCATAATATATATATATATATATATATATATATATATATATATATATATATATATATTATCCTTCACCGCTAGCACGAGTTTCAGGCACGACATCTTCGTCAGGTGTTGAGTTATATCATATTGAGCACCGTTTTATTAACACCGGCACTATATGTGCCATATATTAATAATCTTTCTTGCTATGTCAAACAGTATTGCTTCTCTCGCCATAATCAAGCTGCCGTTGCCTTCCTTGCCAATAGAACAAGCAATCAGCAACTACCATTGTGGAATGGCAGACTGTAGTGCAGTTCTTCCTAGAGTCGAGTGTATAGAGCTTTAGCTTTCGATCCTATAAGATATGTCAAGGAGGTGACTTCGCCTGGGGAGACGCTCCAAGTAATCTATCTATATAGATTGTCCTGTTCACTATCTATCTATCTATCTATCTATCTATCTATCTATCTATCTACTAGCAGTAAAACCCGGTGTTGCCCGGGAGTAAACTTCCTCTGAATGGAAGGTCATAACTGCCATACTCATTTTGTACACACATGTATGGCTGAAGTCTAGTAGAACTGATGGCCGCCCACGTAAAAAACGTATTATACACATCAGCATAACGGAAGAAAAAATTGTAAGGCTTAAAAGGAAGCAATGGATAGCCATGGTACCATCAGCCGTTTGCCATTACTAAGACACCTCCAATTAAAAGTTGTCAAGTTCAATACAAACTCGGTCTTTAGGAAGTTTTTGGTGAGTTGTGGCAGATGGCTTTGTATTCCGATGGGATGGTTTTATTATCCCTGAGTGCAAGACATTACATGAAGCCCTGTGTCAGTTGCAACTTAGTAAAACGCAATAGCGTGAAAGGTAGACGCGTTTTTTGCACAAAAGACAACCCTGACTCTACCGTAAACAGAACCACATAACAGAAGTATGGGAAGGTGCTGGGGCAATTACTTGTAAGTGGCACAAATTTTTTTGTAGTTTTTAATAGCCAGTTGAGGCGAGCATGAAGCACACGTAGCGTTACCTAAAGCAGCCCTTATGGTAAGGGGAGAAACACACCAACGGTGTATGGCAGAGAATGCATATTATAAATCTGCATGTTGCTATTCTTTTATTATCCCACTTCTTTTTGCTGAGGCCTGAATTGCGTGGACGCACTCGACTTCTCTGACAATTAAACAAATCCACCTTCCCACGTATTGGTTTTGTGTTGCAACTGAATATGGTTACGTGGTTGACATGTAAGTGCGAATACAGCTATAGTGGGGTTTAAGTGATAAAGGAGCATTTGATGAGCAAGACAACCTTTAATGAAATGTCTTAGTAATGGCAAGTGGATACAATGACGACCTTTAAAGAAACCGGGTTCAAAAATGAAGGAACCTACGATGCAGCTGACATAAAGATGTTTACATTGCGTTTAAACGTGACCGACCATGGACTACAGGACTTCTGCGTAGGTAATATTTTTAGCTTTGTTTGTTGGAGAGTAAACGTAAACGTTATCCTTACTCCCGACTCGGGAGCAGCTTACGTAACTAGTTGTCCATGGGCGAAACATTGTTCACCTAAATGCAGACCCGCGACGCTGAGCGTCTGTCCTTGCGATCTGGCCATTGTTGTTGGGCCATGCTCTCCGTACTCCAGGGCTTTCTGAAGCTCTGGCAGACGCAGTTGCGCTGGTGTTTCTTAAACGAATAGCGGTTTGTTGAGGCTGTTTCGAAACCCTGGAAGATGCTTCAGCCCTAGCATTCCTAAAACGACACGAAGTGGTTTGTTCAGGGATTTCTAAAGCTCCAGAACCTGCTGTAGCGCTGGCATTCCTTAAACGCCGAAGGATTGTCTGTGTTAGGGACTCGGAAGCCCTGGCCCTAGAAACGCGTATTGCGTCCTGTGAATTCTGTACTAAACGCTCTTCAGTCGAAAGTCTAGCGCATCCTGATGACATAGCTGATGCTACTGATGCCAGCCTTTCAGTCCGCTCAGTGGTACTTTCTGTGGAGGTGCGGGCAGAGGAGCGTGAGGCAATCTGAGAAAGGCGCAACGAAGTTTGCTCTGTGGTTTCACTTGCCCTTGCTGCTCTTCTAGCGGAGGCAACAGCCGTGCGCCGTCCAAAAAGTTTTCTTCTCTTAGGCGGCATTTTAACCAATTTTAAAAAAGGCAAACGTAAAAAAAGATATATAGGTTTTTGAGTGCAAAAAATAGGTGTAGTCTAAACATAGGCAAGTTAGAGAAATCCCAAAAATGTATGTAACTGTATCAAAAGGGGATCAAAGACAAAAAAAAGTGAAGTTTAAAAAATTCAACTGAAGCTAAAACGGTAGTAGTTATTTTGGGAAGTAAATTCGATAAACGCGGAAACGGATGTAGTTATAACTAATAAGTCAAAAAACAGTTTGGATACGTATTCAACAACTTGCAGTTTCCGTAAGAAGCGAATGAAGTGAGCCAAGTGCGGGACATTAATCGCAGAAGTGTGAACACGCGTGCGAGTTATGGTATAAAGAGGCGGTTGGCCGGTTGACCTTGAACGCACATATTAAGGTAACATACGTACGCACGTGCACATGCGTGCGTAAGAGAACTGGTCGCGCGTATGATTGGATGGGCCCAAACTTAAACGCTTGCAACCGTGCCAATGAGCTCGTGCAAACTTGAACAGTTGACGCGATTGGTTAACCTCCAGCTGGGTTAGTCAAAGCAGTGCACAGTGGCGGATGACGTTTCAAAATAGTATCTGGCGACTTTATTGTATCTGGCGACTTTATTGTATCGATTTTTTTTTTATTGATAAATATGAAAGCTATGTAGTTCCTTATCCCAAAATAGGCATTGCCTTTTTGATTTACGTCGTCATCGATGTAGCGCAGTCTCTCAAAGTCAACCAATCAGAAAATGGGATTTTCAAGTTTCATTTTTCTTTGAAAATTTTGAGCAGCCAGGAGATATGAGGTAGTTTTATTGATCAAAAGTTGAAAAGACAAGCGTTTTTACACTTCTTACGAACAAAATTTGAAGCAATGTTAATTTTGTTTACTGATGGATGATGAAGGCATTTAAATAGCACGAATTTAGATGAAAACGTGCGAGAACTTTTGGGGGAAGCGATGCGCAGTAGTAAAATTATAGCGAGGTGCCTTTTGCTACATGTAAACGGCATGAAAAGACATAACAGTCCCCCGGTGTCCACTCGAATGAAAAAATGCTATCAAATGTGAAAAATTGGACAATTAGGATAAGCCGATTCTGTTCACTTGGCTTAAAAGTGGTGGCGTGAAGTGGCATGAAATGTGTTAGTGATATCTCACTGAATTCAATCCTATGCCTTAGTAAGCTAAATGGGCTACAAACACCTAAAAAGCAGCAGTTTCACCTTGTTTTTACTGATTTTTCAGGTAAAAATTGATATGTATCTCTGTAAATCCCTTTTAAAATGGCCTTGATGTTTACTTTACTGTGCAAATGCAGAAAACATGGAAAATAATGCATGCCTGCATTGAAATGTTAAAAGATCCTTTTTAAAAGCCATGGTATGAGTGTTAAATCCTGAAATAAAAGTAGGCTACCTGAAACCTCTACCCCATTTGCTTGGGATGCTTGATGCGTGCACGCGTGACACCCCCGATCACACATAATCTCGCATGGCCCCGGAGCGTGAATGGGCCAATCAGCAGCAACCATTGCGTATCACTCAAGCCATGCGTGACTAATAACACTAATCCGATTGGCTTTTGGAAAGTTCGGTGCGACAGAAATCCTTCATTGTGATAACTTTTGCATCCGAAACCAAAATATGGCCATTCTTGTCTTTTCTTATTCCCATATAAGCACTTAAATCCGACATTTTCCTAATTATACTACCGCTATCAATTCTGACATAAAAAGTGTTCATATCTGGTTGAGTGCAGTGAACGCACATAATTACACTCGTGTGCGTCCGATAAAAAAATCGTTTTTAAAAAATCGATAATATTGATTTAAATATTGATTTAAATCAATTATTGGCGCCGTCAGGACGTCCGTAGGACAATTAGCAGTAACTGTGTCTAATTTGGTTGAAATCGGTTGAAAAATGTAGTAGATCCGATTAAACATATAAACGAACACACACACATTCTGTCTTTTATCATATCTATCTATCTATCTATCTATCTATCTATCTATCTCTGTTCATTATTTATCTGTCTATTCTCAAGCACAGACTCCTGTGCATGTTGTTCTCGTGTTGGTGTTGATTCTGGATGGTCATTCTGCTATAACTCTTTCTTTTTCGTCTTTTGTGGACATGCAAAACCCATTTTTCATTACTTGAAAGGGAGACTGAGAGTTTTAGCGTACTACCTCTGTTCAAATTAAACGATACGCTGTATCTAAGATCTTCTAAACATAGTTGCAGCATGAACAACAGAATAGCAGGTGTTGAACACAAATCTCCCTGAGCAAGCCTATGCGGTAGGCCATCCTAGCAGACATAGTTGGAAACGAAACGTCAGTCATAAAGTTGATACTTATTATTTAAAGTTATGTGGCAATCGTCATGGCGGTAAAAAATATAACCCCGGAACAGAACCAATATATTTTAATGTAGCTGAACGATAGAAACACGACGTTCGGAATTGCAGGTTGAACAGAGATCATAGAACAATCAAAAAAGGAAATTGAAAAATAAGTGAAGAAATAATGACAATATATTTATATATCTACCATTCCTCCTTGATTTGAATATTGCTGCCATTTCTATTCTGGAGATCCTGCTATATATTTAGAGATTCTTGATAAAATCTTAAGAAGAATCGAACACTCAAAAAGGAACCAAAATTCCCTCTTCGCAAGTTTTCAAAATTAAATCCTGAAAGTCACTATAAGCCGCAGATTGCCGCATATAAGAGACTAGCAGCATGGCCCGTCGTTGCTCGTGCTTGATTCAAAAATCGTACGACTCATACAACAATCGTCATCACTTTTTTATTTTTGCCCTTCCTTGCCTTTAAAGGAGTGCCCTTTGCCGTGATGATGTTGCTACATGCCTTACTTCTTGTCTATCTCACACTGCGATTTTTTTCTAAGCTCTATACTAAACATTAACTCTGTTACAAAAAAAGAACTAAGCAAAATGAACACAAAACGATCAGCTTTTAAAAAGGCCTCGTAACTGGAAAAACGTACGATTTAATAAACTTTCTTATCCTTTCAAGAATAATTCAAACAATATTGTTTCCCTCGCCCTAATCTGACTGGCGTTATCTCCCTTGGCAACAGCACCAATTATCAACAACAACTTCCATTGTGGAATGGCTGACTGTAGTGTAGTCGTTCTGAGGGTGGAGTGTATAGCGTATTAGCTTTCGATCCTAGATATGTCAAGGAGGTGAATTGGCCTGAGGAGACGTTCAAAATAATCTTTGTCTTAGCCTTCCCACTATCTATCTATCTATCTATCTATCTATCTATGTTCATTATCTGACTGTTCTCAAGCAAAGACTTCTGTGGATGTTGTTCTAGTTTTGGTGTTGATTCTTCTATAACACTTTCTTTTTCGTTTTATGCTGACATGCAAAACCCATTTTTCATTACTTGAAAGGGAGGCTGAGAGTTTTAGCGTACTACCTCTGTTCAGATTAGATTATCCACTGTATCTAAAACTGACTGTATTGCAGTGATTCCAAAAACTTCTGCTGCCCCTTTCTCTTCCAGGCCACATCCATATAAAGATATTTCGTTCTTGTTAGTATACGGAAAATTGAAAAAAACAAAACTGTCACCAAAGGAACATCCGCAGCTATATCGTTTCGCATACAAACCTAGAAGCTTTGACTGTTGCATGGTTTGTCTTGACCAGATAACGCCAGAAAGATACAATCAACAAATTCTAGTTAACAGAATGAAATACAATTATAGGTTCGTGATTTTGCCGACTTTTGCTTCAGGAGGGAGACTCATGAACCTATGGATATGCTAGCCAAATCTTTATCTCTCTATTTCATTTGATCCCCTAAGAAACGACGTCTATCACTAATTAAGTCTGTTGATGCAGCGTTGGCGTCCCTACGGAAGGATTGCCGATAATCCATTAGACGACATGCAAAGCAACGCTTGTTTAGTTGAGTGCTTCACAAAATCTTTTGATGACAATTTAATCCCGTACGATTACCAAAGCTAAACAAGTTCGAGCATGTTCAGTACCTAGTTAGGTGACCACTTGGGAATACCAGGTGATGTAAGCTTGGATGTGCGGATGGTGTAACGGATAATGGCTCGGAGTTGTTAATCGGAGAGCCGAGTTCCAATTTCTATGGTGTTTTAATAAGGTTTTCAGAAGGAGGAGGTGAGACAAGATTTCAAATTTTTATGACCATGTCCTGTTTGAATACTCGGATTTATAATCAAAAGTTGTTTAGCATTTATTTAAAAAAAAACAGTGCTCGATACACAGTATAGCATAATATTATAATTATTCTATAAAAATATGTATTCATCACTGCACAAAAATTACCATGTTTCGAAAACAAAACCTAAATCTTAAATTAAACATAAAATTATATGAAAAAAACTAACAGTATGGCCCGGCGTTGGTTGTGCTTGATTCAAAAATCGTACGACTCATACAGCAATCGCTATCACTTGACTTAAAATATTTTTGCCCTTCCTTGCCTTTAAAGAAGTGCCCTTTGCCGTGCTGGTGTTGCTACATGCCTTACTTCTTGCCTATCTCACACTGCGAATTCTTTCTAAGCTCTATACTAAACATTAAATATATTACAAAAAAAAGAACTAAGCAAAATGAACACAAAACGATCAGCTTTTAAAAAAAGTACTCGTAACTGGAAAAAACCGAATGAAAAAAGAATGTTAACAACAAATACTTTTTCACACCCAACCCAGTTCTGCGGAATCAGAATCAACGTTGAGTTTAAGCAAGCGAATGAGCCAATTGGAATAAAGTGCCGTGCAGATTTAAACTTTTCCCACTTGTGACGAATGCAGCTATCGTTTTTTTTTGGCATGCTAGTTAACATTCGTGTCAGTCAGCTGTTGACTCTCACGCTGGTCAATAGAACCTTCCTGCCTATTCGTGGCAGCAAGCTATAGGCGCTCAGTCTGGCCAGTAGAAAATGGCCGCAAACTACATGAAAACTGCCGCAGAAGCATGAAAAATCGATTATTTCCACTATCGAAGTCGGTTTTGGCCTTCCCGCAAATCTGTCGAAAATTGCGACAGTGCATTTACACACACACACACACACACACACACACACACACACACACACACACACACACACACATCCTGCCTTTTATAGATAGAGATGATAATAAAAACCAGAGAATAAATAGTTAGGTATGAATCTAATCGTTCTCCGCTCATCTATGTTTTATCAGTAAACCATTATATCTTCCATCCCAAAAACAATCTTGAAATATTATTTGACGTTATATAACCTACAATGTTTTGATAACCCGGGGAAAACGAATTAGCAAAACAAATGTAATTTTAGCCTCGTTTTGGGGTTACTAGAACACGATGCTGAGGGAACGATGGCTTAGCAAATTTCTACAGTCTTACATGTAGAATATAATTTGATTTCAATAATTTGAACACGCTCTAAATTTAACGTCGAATTAAATTTTAGATCGATCGAATAATCGTTAATAAAATTCATTCATTTTATTTTGTCTCATTGCTGCTACCATTGATAGAAGCTTACTGAAGACTAACTTTGCAGTGATCTCAATGACAATAGTTTAATTTTTTGTATCATATTATGATACCACAAAGGAAAATTTGTGCCTTCCGTAAAAAAAAAGACCTCAGTAATAAATAACAATTTTAAAGCGATTCATAGGTCTTTAGTCTGTCTGTTCATCTGTTTCGCGTCTGTGTCTTGTCCCTTGACGATTATGGCTGTGAACAACCTCCTATTCTTGGTATACCTGAGCACCGTTTGTCCCTTTACCAAACTTTCCGCTCCCCGTTCAAATATCAATTCACACAAGCTCGTCGTGAAGGTGCCTTGGATTATCTCCCCTTGATATACAATTAAACTTCTTTCTTATTGTGTATATAAGATATTTCAGCTTTCTCTTTGTGATGCTGAGTATAACTGTTCCTTTTCTTACCATTTCTTCAAGAATTCCTCGTTGATTACTGGCTCTGTCCATGGAATTCTCAGCGTCTTTGCAAAGAACCACATTCTTACTCCTTCCAGTGTTCTCGTAATCTGGGGTGAGATTGTCCCGCATTCACTGCCATACATGAGGATTGATATCACCTAACATTTTAGCACTCTCTTTTTTCATTCTAAATAATTCTTCAGGTCAAGCATTGAACAGCTACGTTCCTGAAGGCGTAACACGGACCACTACACTAACTTTACATCTGCCTTCACGAAGAGTGATGTTCGTTGTTCTCTATGTGAAATGTTATATGTGAAGAGAACGTGAGAGAAAGTGAAAGAAAGAAATGAATAAAGATTTAAAGAAAGAATGAAAGAAAGAAAGAAAGAAGGAAAGAAAGAAAGAAAGATTGAAGGAGAAATGGTCGATTGGTTTAAGCAAATTCAATTTAAAAATTCAAAGAATATATTAAGTGAAAATAATTTCTCTTTGTAAGGATTCTCTCCCGGCTGTAACTCGCCATTTGCTTTCCTAAAAAAAGTTCTTCGTTCCTACCCCAGATCTCCACTAAAAAAAAAAAAAAAAAAAAAAAAGAAGAAATCAATTTTTAAAAGGATTCTTCCGTCAGGTTCTAATTAAAGAAATGTTGAAGTGTAAGGATATGCTCTAAACGGGTGAAGAAAATTTCCCTTTGTGTAAGAAAGGTCGGTTGAAAAAAATACGGTGCAAAAAAAAAACAAAAAAAACGAAGAAAACAACCAAACAAATAAAAGAACGCCAACTTCTAGTGATTGAATTATTGTAATACCTTCGATAAGATCAACAGTTTTGCAATTAATATCTCCAGGGGAATATTCCTCGGCTGTGTAGGAAAAAAAATGACCAAAAAAAGAGATTAGCATTTAATTGAGCTGAAATGTCAATCAGTGTAGTGGAAATATTATCATCATCATCTATCCTATGAGCGTGTGGGGTCGTAAGTTGCTATTGAGATAACTCCACCCAAACTCTCCCAGATGACCATTGCTCTTTCGAGAAGTTTCATCCACTCTTTGATTTTCATCCAACTGGGTGCTAACAAGCCTACTCACCAGGGGAAAAAACAAGGGTGGAACCGATTTACTAGCCATTCGACACGCTCATGCGGCGGGTTACAAGATACCAGTAGCAATCCGACGATGCCAATATACTAGGATTTTTAGCCAATCCTCATTGCAGACGCCTGGCTCTGGCACATTTGTGTTTGTTCAACACCCACAGAGCCTACATGTAGTTTATACTGCAACTGTGATGAGCGGTTCTTAGCTACAGTTTCTGGGAGAGAGCGCGTTATCTAGCGTGATCAACAAGTTGAACAAAGCCAGCACGCCTCGGTCATGATGACTTGTGATTTCGTGCTAGCACAACCACCGCCAGTCACCAAAGGTTCCGTTTATCCAATGGTTGTCCAGGTGCTTTCCAATGTTGGGATCGCTTCGTTCAGACGAATAACATCAAGAAGTCACCTTACAGACAATTAGACGCCGGTGAGATTCGAACCCGTGTCTCATGGTCAGAAAGCGAACGTCCTAACCACACGGCCACGTGACCATACGGGGCACCTAGTGAGGATTGAACTCACGACTCAGTCGTAATTGGTCTAGCGAGACAACCGTTACGCAACGTCAACGAGCCTAAATTATTTTCTAGTCGTAACTTCACGCCGAAGTGGCCCAGCAACAATCGTAGACTGACCTGACATATATTCGGCATTGTAAAAAAAAGTGCCTATTTAAGGCCTAACTTTCGTATGCGATGTCTTGAAATATTATTTATATTGATATCTAGGTTACTTTTGCCATTTTTCGAAGGCCGAATCTCAAAATTTTGATTTTTACCACAGGTCGTACAAGTATTAGCCATCACAACTGTTTTGACTTGTAGGCATACTGTGACGTTGAGTGATTACCAATCTTCAGCAGGTTTGCAAAAAAATGATATCAGCCTCCTGCACACATCTGTTGTCTAATGCTAATTCAGATTTCAATCCACTTGGACAATTCTCTGTGGAGAACTTGGAGCCCTAAACCTAAACTCACTACTGATAAGTGTTGCTGCTGGTTGTCGTTCTTCACTCCACTCTTCTTTTTTTCTTAGCAGCTCCCATATCGTATTTATGATTATGCATAAGCACTGATTATTTCCGACGTCTCACCCCATTGGATTCTTCCTTGTCCAGTACTTTCACTTTATTTCACGGTGATGAATACCCTGATAACTACGCCTTTCCCTCTATACATGATCAGCCATGCCCGATTTTTTTTTTATCTTACCCTTTTACTACGGCTTTTCGATTTCTCCGCTGCCTTACTT